ACGGATGAATCTGAGAATCTGAGAATTTATTAATACATAAAATTAACCTGAAATAAAAAAAAATAACCAAATAGTTAAAACCAATACAATTGTCCAGAAAAAGCTTCTTGCACTGCTCCAAGACGTGTTTCACCCTATCATTGGGCTTTCTCAATCGGAGTTATTGTCTCTTCATCCATCTCTTCCTTTAAACTATGACCTCTTCTCTAATTGGGCTCACTGCCCGCTTTACAACCAGTCGTGAGTGTGAGTCTCGTGGGTGTGTGTTTAGCTCATCTGTTCTCACTTACCAATACATTAAATGGAAGTGGCGTGTCCATAAGCTCCTCACATCATTTCCTTTCCTTCTTCGTCCTTCTTACTTGTTGGTAATATTCTTACTTCCTGGGATGACGTCATGGCTAATCCTACCGGCGCTTGACTGGAAGTTCATTTATGGCCAACTTTCTGTGGGGAATGCATGGTTTTCAGTGTTCAAAGGGTAATCAAGTCCTAATATTAATCCATTAAAAAGTCTTCAACTGGATTCTCATATAATTTAGTCCAAAATTCATGGGGAGACACAAACAAATTATAATGCTGTTAGCAATTTAAATGCAAATAAACAAATCTAATAACAGCATATGCCCGACTGAGTTTAATATTATAATGTAAAAATAAACTTATTTGAAAAATAGAGAAATGTAATACATTTGAGAGTGAAAAAATATGTATATGTATACATAAATATAGTATATGTATAAATGTGAAATATATATTTAATTAAAAAATTTAAATATAAAAAACAAAAATTTAACTCAATCTATTTCATATCCCCCTATATGTGGGTAACATACATCACGTCTTTCTTTTTTTTTTTATATCTCATTTTTATTAGAGAATGTTATTAATGCATATAGTATCAAAAATTTTACATTTTCATATAACAGAGTAATCAATTGCTATACGACAATTTACAACTATTTTTCCTAGATTGACATCAAAGCTTTGCTTAAACGTATTGTGCTGTTGACCTCCGATAATTGTATTAGCTTCATTAAAACATAAGAATAACATAGAAAAATAACATGGAGGGAGGGGAATACAGAAAGGAAAAAAGGGGGGGGGGGAGGGGGTTAAGTTCACATTGATATTGCTTATGCAACAGTCCTTGTGACACATAGAACCCTAGAGCCTGGCTGGCCTTAGAACCCTAGAGCCTGGCTGGACATTCAAGTCACACAAAAGTGGTGCCCTATAAGCTATTTATTCCTATCAGTTTCCTCATTGTTAGCGTTGCTTTCCTGTGCCTTTCCAATATTACGGTCCAGCATTCACAATCTCTCACATACCTACTTACACAACCCTGTGTTTTGCTAACCATTCTCTCGTAAATACTTATCATATTCAACCTCTGTATGAGAGTATCTAACTAGGGAATCGTCGTGCTCTTCCAGTGGAACGCCAAGTTTATCTTCGCTATGCTGAGAATGATGAGTAATACTTTGTGGTTGGGTGGTGTATCAGCCCGAGGATGATATGTAGAAGGTAGCTGGTTGGCTTCTTTGGTGTTCTATAGAGTGTGGTATCAGAGATAAAGCAGAGATAAATTTCCCCACCCGGACCTAGTATTCTCCCAGGGCCGGACAATACCAAAATGTGTGTAGCATAGTGACTATCTGTGTTTTGCATCTCCAGCATAGATCTGATGCCTCCTTATAGATTCGCGATAACTTGTATGGCACCAGGTACCATCTCATGGTGATTTTACAGAAGGCTTCCCAGGGTGATAAGCTCCTTGAGGCTCGTTTAGTAATTGACATAGCTTCGTGCCAATGTGACAGAGGTTGGTCAATTCACAAAACTGAAAAAAACGAATAAAAGTCCTGAATGGATTCCCCTGGCTCATAGTAGCGATTGCTCCCCTTGTCCGTTCGCACAGAACTACCGAATGAGGCTTTCCTGGCTGTTCGGGAAGTATGAGAAGCCGGCGTTTGGTAGTTTCCAGCGGTAGTTCGTGAGGTCGAGTGTCCGATTTTAGTTCCAGACACTCGAAGACCAAGTCCCGCTGGTTCTCCTCGTGCGAACAAGATGGCCGCCGTTTTCTTTTCCACGTGGCGTTCGGTTATACGAACAGTGGCCACCCAGGGAGCACTTAATAGCTAGTTTTCTTTGAAGTAAATGAGCCAGGAGGGTGGTCGGCGTTCGGTAGTTTCAAACTACCGAACCAATCCATTCAATATACAAGTATTCACCTATAAAAATACTGAATAAAAAGGGAGAAAATAACAGGTAAAAGTCTATTTTCTTCACACTCATCAGCACCTCAATTGGTGCAGAATGCAACAGGGTTTCATGGAGGGATTTAGTCAATTGAACCCCTAGATAGAACTGATTTTTTTCCCTCCAATCTTCAGGGAGATTTATGGGTAAAGCTTGGGTTTTGGCCGTATTGTTTATATTGTAGGAGATTCTACCATATGTGTTCAGGATTTCTAGTAGCTTCAGAATTGAAGTTGTTGGGTCCAAAAGAAACAGAAGAATATCATCTGCGAATAATGCAAATTTTTTCATATCCCACGGGGTAACTAAACCTGTAATTTGTGTGTTCTGGTTTACTTGGCGTAAGAGTGGTTCCAAGCATAGGATAAAAACAATCGGGGACAACGGGCATTCCTGGCGCGTGTTGTTGCATATATGGAAAGGTGTAGATAGGAACCCTGTGCTAAAAACTTTAGCTGTCAGTTGTTGATAAAGGGCCATGATACTAGATATGAAAGCGGGTGGGAAGTTCATTCTTTCTAGCGTTCGCTCCATGTAGCCCCAGTGCAATCAAACGCCTTTTCTGCATCCAAAGCAAGGATCAGACCACTCCGGGACGATCGGTTGGCCCAGTCTAGTTTAATCTCCGCCCGATATCTTTACTGAACGCTGACGTAAAACTCTATGCCAAAATAGTGGCGACAAGACTTAAGCCTCTACTTCTCACACTAATATCTGATGAACAGGCGGGCTTTGTACCAGGCAGGCAAATTGGGGACAACACCAGACATTTTCTGAACCACATACATCGCGTCTTAAGATCAGGGAATGTCTATTCATATCAAGAGTCATCTAAAATACAAAATAATACATAATACAATGACCAAACATTTCTCTAAATTTCTATAAAAAATGCCATAACTCAAAATCGCTGTTGAGACAATCAGTTAAAAGGGAGTCCGAAATTAAAAATCCATCTGATCTCTGCCCTGCCCTGCCCAGCACACAGATTAAGTCTTCTCCCCTCCAATTGGTTAAATTTATTGTATACCCAAAAATTGGAGTTGACTTAGGTCTTGTTCATGTTTGATTTTAAAATGGTGTGACAGATTGTGTTTGTCAAACCCATTTCTTATATTGCGGACATTGTTCTAACATTATATGCATATTTAAAGATGAGCTTTTTTTAAAGTTAATAAATATTTGAAACAATATGGGGCATTTGTGAAATAGGCATAATTGCATTAAATTTTAAATGTATTTTTAATTACCACAATAAGTTACATGGTTCTCAATTATATATATTACATTCATTGGATCTACAACTGCCTGACATATGTAGGTATGAATATATTAATAATCTAAATAAGTGTATCTATCCTCCATATACATCTGAAGATGAGTGTGTGAATACACGAGGTGTCAGAGAGTGAGCATGCATGAGTAGCTGTTAGACTGTGAGTGTCTATAGGTGTCAGTCTGTGAGTGTGTGTGTAGGTGCAGGGCCGCCATCAGAAATTGTGCGGCCCCTAACACAGCTCAAGGTCTAGGCCCACGGGTTCCCGCCTCCAAGCCCCGCCTCCAAATCCCACCCACAGGAATACACACACACAGACACAAAAGGATATAGACACACACACAGAAAGATACACACATTGATGTGCCATCCTGGATGAGCTGCACTACCTGAGCCACTTGCGTGGGTTGTAGACTCCGTCTCATGCTACCACTAGAGTGAAAGCCCTGCCAGCATTCAAAAGTGACCAAAATATCAGCCAGGAAGCATAGGAACTGAGAAGTGGTCTGTGGTCACCACCTGCAGAACCACTCCTTTATTGGGGGTGTCTTGCTAATTGCCAATAATTTCCACCTGTTGTCTATCCCATTTGCACAACAGCATGTGAAATTGATTGTCACTCAGTGTTGCTTCCTAAGTGGACAGTTTGATTTCACAGAAGTGTGATTGACTTGGAGTTACATTGTGTGGTTTAAGTGTTCCCTTTATTTTTTTTGAGCAGTGTATATGTATAAAATTGAATGAAGTCCTAACTAGGATATTGGTTACTATATATATATATTTGACTTTCTCAACACTCCTGGGTGGTATATTTATTCCTCATTCTCAGGCAGGGCTCGAGTCCTGCAGGAACGCATGGGAACGGCGTTCCTGCACTTTTTCCAAAGCAGGAACGCCGTTCCCGTTACCTGCCCTGCAGGACCGGCCCTGCTCCCTGCACACAGGGGCCAGCACACGCTGTGTTCCTTCTCCAGCTATAACTCTCGCGAGACCCGCGGCTGTTACCATGGCAACGCTCCGCACAGGCGAGTCTCGCGAGAGTTAGAGCTGGAGAGGGAACACAGCGTGTGATGGCCCCTCTGTGCAGCGGCTGGCTCCCTCCAGCATACCACCGGACCACCAGGCGATCTCCCCCCTCCCTGACAAGGTAAGAAGCAGGGAGGGGGGATAAAATAAAAATTATACATACACATCATCCAGCATACACATCATCCAGCACACACACACACCATCATCCAGCACACACACACACCCATCATCCAGCACTCACACACCCATCATCCAGCACTCACACACCCATCATCCAGCACACACACACAATCCAGCACTCACACACCCATCATCCAGCACTCACACACACACAATCCAGCACTCACACCCACACATCATCCAGCACTCACACACCCATCATCCAGCACTCACACACCCATCATCCAGCACACACACACACAATCCAGCACTCACACACCCATCATCCAGCACTCACACACCCACAATCCAGCACTCACACACCCATCATCCAGCACTCACACACCCATCATCCAGCACACACACACCCATCATCCAGCACACACACACCCATCATCCAGCACACACACACCCATCATCCAGCACTCACACACCTATCATCCAGCACTCACACACCTATCATCCAGTACTCACACACCTATCATCCAGCACTCACACACCCATCATCCAGC